ACACCGATTTACCCCTAATTTCGAAGCATTCTCAAATTTGCCCATGTGCGGTTATGTGCCCTTACAAAAATGCCCCTCCGTGCCGTATCCACTCAGTCAAAGTCCTTTAACCGTCAATGGGGCGTTTCCTGGACATATTTGCCCATCTATTCACTTGTCACTTACATGTGGGTCCTACCCTAGGAAAAAGAGAAACAAATCTGTCTTATTCACTCTCCCTCACTAATAATATAAAAAACTCCCCCTCTCTCATAACCTCTATCTCTCCTTGACTTGTGTGCCAAGGACCCACTTGCAGTGTCCACACCAGTCCACGGGCTCCAAAGCAAGGCGAGGCTCAGCAGGTGGCCGTCGCCAATGAGGGGCGGCATGCCTGCATGTGAAGACCAAGGGGACGGGCTCGGGGTGGTTTGTCGAAGGATTTGCAGGTGGTGGTCGAGGCGGATGGCGGCGAACTGCGACGCCATGCACGGGGAGCGCCTGAGACATTCCGCGGAGGACGTCGATGCTAGCTGTCTCGGTTGAAGGCTAGATCGAGGCCAAAGAGCATGGCCATGTGCCCCTCTCGCCGCCTCTCCTCTGCCCTGCGTGGTGAATTGGGCCTAGGGTCGCCTGTAGACGACGGACGGGACTCTGATCTCCGCCATGGATGTGCTTTTGAGCTCCTAAATGCGTCCACCCCGAGCCACCGTTGACCTCCTCGACCTTAGTGTCCTCGTCGCTGAAATCTAGTGGACCTACTCCCCTCTTCCACTACTCGACCCCGTTCTCGAAGCGCCCTGCCCGAAGCCGGCCGCCATGACTGACCTCGTCTGGCTCGGTCATGTGCGCGCGCCCACCTACCTACAAGTGTCGTGCCCGTGAAGATGAATTGGTGTGCAAGGAGTGCCTCACACAGCTATACTGCCCGCCTCGTGCTCTCCTCCCGCGACCGTCTATAGCCACGTACGGCGAGCCGTCGGCGAGCGCAGCCGGTCAGGCATGCGTTTGGGGACGTGTGGACCGGTGTTGACCCTGGCAGTGGATCCCATGGTCCACATGTTAGAGAGAGAGAGTGTGTTTTATTGTTATTTTTTATGTTTGTTGGTGTCCATCTGTAAGTTAGAGAGAGGGGATGAGATAGTGAGTTTTTTTAACTTTGGGCAGGTCCACGTGTAAGTTATATATGCATAGAAGGGCGAATATATCTAGAAAACGTCTTATTGATGGTCAAAGGCCTTTGATCAGACGGAAATGACACATAAGGACATTTTTATAAAGGCACCTAACAGGAAAGGGGCACATTTGAACACGCTTCAAAATTAGGGGTAAATCTGAATAATGGGTTCGAGTTAGGGGCTGAAATATAAATGACCCTTTTTTTTATAAGAGCAGAGATAAATGGTGTTTCCTATTTGACTAACATGCCTCAAATAGTCCCGTATTGGCACATGAGCGACCGAGTTGGGCCGACCAATTTAACGCTAGATAAATTGAATGTTGGTTCCGATTTTGGAAACCTTCTACAAGGTCCCTGGATCGGTGTGTGTCCCTTTTTTGTTTTTTATGTTTCGAAAAAAGTTACCTTAAAAAAATGTTTGGAATTTTTATAAAATGATTTTAGATTAAGAAAAAAAACAGGTTTTTTGGTGTGTTTTCAAATATTGTTTGGAATTTACGAAATCCGCATTTTTAGAATTTGTTCACAGTAAAAAAAGCATTCTCAAAATTTGTTTTTTAAAATGATTCCGTTTTTTAGAAAATCGTAACTTCATTTTTCAGAAATTTGAAAATTTGTTCGCATTTTCAGTAAATATTTTCTTTTACAATAAAATATATTCGTATTTCTAGAAAAGTTAGATTTGTTTCAAAAAGGTTGCTACAGTTGACCTTTTTTAGAGAATGCAACAATGAGCTTTTTGTTTTTGAGAATGATGCAACAATGAGTTTTTTTTTTTGAGAGAGAATGATGCAACAATGAGCTGATTGCTACAGTACCGAGCGCTACAGAGTCGGGCCGGCCCAGTCGTTGCCTCCTCTGTGCGCCTGAGTCCCCGAGATAAAATATCGACTCGTTCAGTGTGTGCCAGCGAGCCCATCCTTAGATTCATCTCTCCTTTCCACTCCCATTCCTCCTCCGGCCGCCACCTCCGCATCGACCTCCTCGGTTGCCATGGGCATGGATGACCACGAATTCCGGCTGCTCACGATCCCTCCGCCCATCCACCCCGAGGATCCGGACTCTCCTCTTCCGGAGACCATCCTCATCGACTCGTTCGGCTACCTCAGCGACCGCACCAACGCCACCACTGCCAATGGCCGCAGGAGCAGGACCAAGAAGAAGGGCAAGCGCATCCTGGTCACCTTCTGGCCGGCTGCCCCGCCGCGCGTCTCCTGCTTCACCGTCCACTGCCCAGATCTGAAGCCCGACGCGTACGGCAGCATCCCCAAGGTCTGCTACACGGAGGACGGCCTCGCCCTGCTCTGCATCATCATCTGCCCCGAGCGCCAGGACACGTACCCCAAGAACATCCGCCACTTCGTCTACCAGGCCGGCACCAAGAATACTCCGCCGTCGGTCAAGCTCGTCCACTCGCCCCCCGACTTCACCTTCTTCGACCACGAGGTCGCGTTGCTGCGCCGCCGCGACCAGGACATGTTCTTCATCGCCGTGCTCCGCTGGGCCTTCGTTGAGTCGGAGTTCACCGACGGGCACTTTAATCTCCACCTGTACAGCTCCAAGACAAAGACATGTCACAAAATTTGGATAAAATGTTTCGCATGCACATCTCGACATCCACGTTCTCGCAAAGTCATTTCGCAAAGAACCGACAACTTTTGTGTCCCGTGTGAAAACAGCAAAATTCAGTGTGTTTAAAAAGGGCTTTTCATGAGACATCTTTTTTTTTACACAAGCCACAAAAATTATCGGTTTTCCGCGAAACTTGGCACACACACGTAGAATATTGAGATGATGCTTCAAAAAAATTTCTTCGGAATTCTGTGACATCTTGAAAAGCTTTTTCCCGTGGCAGGATTATGCGGCCATGTGCCAATGTGGATTTCTCCATCTCACATATGTTGTTAAATAAATAGTGGACAAGTATGAGGAAATCTAGACATTTTTATCTTCTGATTGCTTCAAGCCTCACACCCAGTTAAGAGTATATCAAGGGTGTATCTAAAGCCTTTTGCGGAAAGTTTTCTTGAACACGTTGTTCATTCCTTCACTCCTTTGGGTTGATGTCATATATGCACTAAAAGAATCCCGGCGATAGATAGTAGCCCACTTCTCACGCAACTTGTACAGATTTCTTATCCAAGAATTATCCTCAATCTGATACTTAAGCAATAGCTCATTCCATCTATTCTCAAAATGTGTCAGTGATCTATCTTCATACACACACCTTTTGAATTCTTTAAGAAAATTATCATTGTCGCCGATTACTTGACTTAGATGTTTTGCAGCATTTTGATACAAATGCCATAAACAAAGACGATGTTGTGTTCTTGGGAAAACCCTTCCAATAGCATTTATAATGGCGGCACATTGATCGGTGAATATTGTTTCAGGCTGCTTACCAGACATAGCTTGTAGAAAGGTTCTAAAAACCCACTCAAAGGTATCTGCAGATTCATTAGATAGTAGTGCTGCACCAAAAAGAATAGTCTGCTTGTGATGATTAACACCAATAAACGGAGCAAGTGGCATTTGAAACTTATTTGTTGAAAATGTGGTGTCAAAGGAAAGGGCGTCTCCAAAGACAGAATAGTCCATGATAGCTTGTCCATCAGTCCAAAAGATGTTCATTATTGTACCATCATCATCATCTAACTGCATGGCATAGAAAAACGAAGGGTCCACAGCTTGCTTGTTCTTTAGATACTTCATTAATGTTTGTGCATCTTTGGTTTCCAAATACTTTGAGCGCTCACTTCGCAAATAATTGTTGCAATCCATTTGCAAGAAGGGTATAGCATCTTTACCATACCAAAGCTCGCAAAAATCATATATTTCGGCTTGTTTAATTCCCGATGTCCTCGTTTGCTTAATCATGTGGCGATCGACATCTAAGAGTTGACGCTGCGATCTAAGCATGTGCCTCTTATCTGGACTTACAAGCTGGTGATTGTGGTCGAGCGTAACTTTCTGAGCAGTCCAAATTCCCTCTTGATTGATGTTGAATTGAACTCGAGCCATACAATTAGTCCTCGAAATAGCTTGCTCTTTCTTGGCCACACGTGTTGGATTAGCATTTTTCACACCTGCCTTGCTACAAACAAAATATCTGGAACTTAAAGTCCCATCTGCTCTAAACTTCAAGTGGCACTTCCTAATGCTAAATCCCTTGGTTTGAGCATAAGAATTGTAAAATTGGTACGCCTCTTCTTCAGACTGAAAGCACTTCCCAACTCTTGGAGCATTATCTGCATCTTGTATGTCTTGATTATTCAATGGTGTGTTGCTCATTCTCGGCTGGCCATTAGTCTAAGTTCTTGGCAATTGCTGTAAGGTAATTGAATCAATCAAGAGATGCTTCACGAAGAGAGGATCGTGCTAGCTGTTGCATGCGTACTGGTTACTGAACTTACCACGGTCGGAGTAGCCGTGGGCAGAGAGGATTCTGGAGCAGAGGCTGCCGGTGTGCTACTCATCGAGGGCTGGCCATTAGTCTCAGTCGTTGGAAATTGCTGCAAGGTAATTGAATCAATCAAAATAGGCTTCAGGAAGAGGGGATTGTGCTTGGTGTAGCATGTGTACTGATTATTGAACTTACCCTGATTGGAGTAGCTGTGGCCAGAGAGGTGGTCTCCCGATCCAGTGCCTCGTTGCCCTCGTCGGGCTGCGCCATCTTGGCACGCCGTCGTCGGCGAGATGGAAGAGACGGAGATGGGTTTTTTCGTTTTGAAAGATGAAACAGATTAGAAGCTGAAAGGACGGGGCGTGGGGCGTAGGAAACGGAAGTGGGGTGGGCTGGGCTGGAAGCCAGGCGAACACTGCGTTGAGATTCGTACGCCAGATGTCATGCGCTCGAGGTGGTCTCCCGTTTGGCCTCGTGCGACCCGGTCGTACGAGATTTTTTTCCTTGTCTGTTCGGAACATCGTTGTCCTCCAAGGTTACATCAAGTATTTCGAGATGCACAATAATGTCAGACCGAGCTCATACACTGGAAGCTCCCCGATATTAGAAGGTTGGATTGCTGCAACAAAAAAGATAAAAATTTCAAGCATTGGTTCTGGTAGTAACTGGGAGGAGGACTGCACTATCAGATGCTGTGATGATGTCCCAGTGGATAACCCTGTGTATGCCCAAATGTTACCTAATCCGCAGGAGGGTGATGATACCAAGCCAAACCTGAAGAAAATTTGTGTAGGCTATCCTGCTCTTAGCTTGCATGATGGTGATGTTGTTTACCTCATGCACACACTTGATCCCCGTCAGGTTAAGGCCTGTGTGATTGCTCTTGATATGAGGAACAAGACTGTAAAAGGTGTGGCTAATTTTGGCTCTGGAAGACGCCTGGGTTATCATTTCACCTACCTTGAGAGTGGGATCTCCAAGCATCTGGGCATTCTCTCACCGACCAGGTAATTTTGTTTAGAGCTTTCACATTCTTGCTTAGCAAAATGAGGTACAAACTGAAGTATCAATGGTAAACCAGCTTGTATGGGCAGCAGGAGAGTACTTTAGGTACTTTTACCGAGTGGATGTTGATTTGTTACATCTATGTTCTTATTATGTTGTGCATGTTAATCTCACAAAAGAATGTGTTCCATCGTCCATTACAATTCTGGTTTTCATTATTTATTATTTGGTTTGATCATGTGCAGCTACCAGGTAGTATTCTCTAGATCTATCTGATTTGTTGTTTCAGAATAACTACTGTATTTGTTTCAGGATGGTGAACATTGTGTCTGCATTTATCTTGTTAGCATTTACGTTTCCGTCCAAAAATTCAGCACTTGCTGCTCCCTGTTACCACATTTAAATTCTGTGGTTTCTGTTTGATGAGATGTATTAAAAAGGCTTCATTCAACGCACAAAAGTAAAAGACTGTCCAGCTTAACTTCACCGCATTGTTCCCTAACCGATGTTTCTGCTTGCTTATGGTGTGTTGCACATGAATGATTTCATGAGTGCGCGATGTGCTGTATCTTGCACGCCATGTGGTGTAACTAAACCCTATTGATCCACAGCCGTTGTTGAAACGGTGCACCAAGGAAATAATCCTATAGTTGGCTTATTTGAGGGGAAAATATTGCACACCATTGGTAGGTTATCTCATGCCCAGGATTCAGCTTCCATGCATTGTGTGTTTCGTGACAATTTCCCTGGCCATTGTCTATAAACAATAAGATGCACTATGTGCACCAATAAAGCAATGTTTTCCTTTGTTGTGTGCACCTGCTTGGTACATAATCTTGCTTTTGTGTTAATCGTTTATTTCTTTTGTGGAACCGAAATTATTTCCATCACACAAAATAAGCAAAATAGGTAAGCTTAGCTAACCCAGCTGTTTCTTAGTGGGACAAAATTGGCAATCCCTATGGTTGGCTTATTTGAGGGGAAATATTGCAGTGGATCTGTGGCCCCTGTAAAAATGGCAGTACATTTAGGGTCTCCCTCTACTTCATATTAGTTGTCATTCTAGTTTTGTCAAAGTCAAACCTTTCTTTCTATCTTGATTCTTGAATAACTATCGGTTTCTAGAAATGCGTATAGTTTAGTGTGAACTCCATTTTTCACCCGCTAGTTTAACAATTGGCCCATTTAGCAGAATTTCTTCCCACTTATCCCATTTAGTAAAAGTTGTGTCAGCTTTCACCCCCTTTTAAACTTAACCCATTCTGTAAGGTTGCACCGAGTTATCAGCTCTATGTGGCTTTGCAATATCAGAAACATATTTTGCCCTGGCATATTTAATAACCGACTACCTTCTCAGGTCCTCATCTGTACCTTTGTGTGGCAACTGTTGCTGCCACAATGTTCTCACCTTCTGCTAGCCAGATAGAACTAAACGCGAGAGCTAGCCAGAGCATAATAGGGCACTAGTAGTAGTCCACTTAAGTAGAGTATTTTGGTTGTATTTTTGGTAATTATTGTTTTTGTTCTAGTACTAGTACGTAGCATAAAATTTCTGTGTGCCATGCATGTACAGGACAAGTGTGCATGCTCTAGCTTCTCTTTTCAGGTTTCGGCCAAGCGATCGATGAAGCAAGCGACAGTAGCAACAACCAAGATCGTAGTAGAAGCAGCTAGGATTGTTGAAGTCGCGCATGCCCACGTAGACCTGATGAACGAGTCCTACCAAATATAACTGAATAAACTGGCAAATGTTTCACTAAATGGGAATGTTAACTGGTGAATGCGTTCAATAGTGTCCCTATATTCGTACCATTCGTCAGATATTAGAGTTGGACTAAATAGGGTAAACAGGAGGAATTCCTATTAAATGTGGTAATTGCTGTCACAAATATTAGACTATGGATAAAAAGTGAAATTCACTCTATAGTTTGAGATTATAAGATTTATATTTTTAGATTTGCCATGAGAATTATGCTCGCCATTATACTGTACAAATTTATAGGAATTGATGGCCAAAGATAGAAATGTTAGACTTGGGACAAATCTAGAATTTGAAACACAGGGAGTTGCATGGAATGGAAGAGAACTTGCAAGTTCCGGAAACTGGGTGTTGTATGACAAGAATACTCAATACAGTCAGAAAGAGAGGGCGTGAACAAAATTGCTAATGTTAGTAAGAGCAGAGCGGTTGTTGGAATTTTAATTTAATTGGATAATAGTTTGTTTATGGGTCTTTATAGTCAATGTTTAGATGATTTAACCTCTGCAAGTAGATATTTCATATCATCTAATAGATTTTTTTTACTATCGTTTATACAGGCAAATATCGAATGCTGCTGAAACAATTAGGGATGTTAAGTAAGAAGCTTGTACAGCAGGCTGCTATGATTGGTGTGCAGGCTGGAAAGAAGGTTGAGTTCAAATTGTTCGAAGGCATGGTCAAAGCCCCGGTCCAAAAAAAGCTTAAGAAGTCTTTCCTATCTCATCCGTGATGCGTATGATGTGTTGCATTGCCAATGGACTTGTATTACTAAAAATCTTCTGCATTGTATCGACTATATTTGTTGGCCGTGTGTGTCCACTATGTTCTATGCTAGCCATGTGAGGTCTATATATATAGACTTGCTAAACTAAGCCTAAACCCAATCTTTTTTATCATTAATTTCCTAGTGGTAACTGGATGTACTCCCTCCGTTCATAAATACTTGTCTTTCTAGGCATTTCAACAAGTGACTACATACGGAGCAAAATGAGTAAATCTACACTCTAAAATATGTCTACATACATCCGTATGTAGTAATCATTTGAAATGTCTAGAAAAACAAGTATTTAGGAACGGAGGGAGTAGTTGATAACTAATTTTAGTGAAGCCTTTACGTCCGGCGGTGCGTGCGCTGGTTTATCTGGCTCCATGGTCACGGGCTGTTAGTCCGGTAGTGAAACATTACTGCTCGTATCTTGCTCTCGTAGTCAGGGCATCTTCAAAGTCGATCCTTAAATCACTTGCCTACATCTTCAAAGTTGACCCTTAAATCACTTTCCTACAGGCATGGACCGCCATTCAATATGAGCATGTATTGGTCTACTTACGGTTTAGACCCTCAAATCACGCGCTGTTCGTTCAGTAGTGAAACATTACTGCTCGTATCTTGCTCTCGTAGTCAGGCATCTCCAAAGTCGACAGCCAAATCACTTGCATACGTCTGGACCTTTGAAGCCATCCAACATAGGCATGAGCGGCCATCCAACGCCTTTGTATCTTGTCGTTTTTCTGCTTTTTTGTGTTGGTTTCGAGTTTGTAATCCTTACCGGTTGATGGCTTTGTTAATTCAAAATCGGGCTCTTTCTTGAGCCTCTGTTCTAAAAAAAAGCGGCCATCCAACATGAACATGTATTGATCCACTTGACGGTTTAGACCCTCAAATCACTTGCATACGTCCGGACTTTCGAAGCCATCCAACATAGGCATAGGCCGCCATCCAACATGAGCCTGTATTAGTTCGTTTGACGGTCTAGACGTGTGTTTTTTTTTTCAACAGACAAAGTGATGAACTTTTCAAAAAAAATCAATGATTTTTTTAAAATTTGCTGAACTTTTTTCAAATTCGGTGCACTTTTTTCAAAATCAATGAACCTTTTCCAGAATCGATTTTTTTCAAATTCAATGAACTTTTTCCAAAGTCGATGAACTTATTTTCAAATTCGGTGAACTTTTTCCCAAATTTGATGATTTTTTTCAAATTCAATGAAGTTTTTTCAAATCGATGATTTTTTTTCCAAATTCTATGATTTATTGAAACTCGGTGAACTTTTTCAAAACATTTATTTTTTCAAATTTGATGAACTTTTCATAATCTGTGAACATTTTGAATTCATAACTTTTTTTTTATTTTTGCGAACTAAAATCATGGTTTTTCTTGGTTCAAATGGTGAACCGTTGACCTTTTCTTTTTAGCGAAGTGAACCGTTGACCAGACAACCATAAAACGAGCGTACAGCGAGCGGGTGACCACCCAACTCGTGTAACTGGGTCGGCCCATACCAAGCCGCTGTGTGCGCCAGCTCCTGGATGAGACGCCTACAACGCCCTGTTTGATCGGTAATCCGCGCATTGAGTAAACCTAGTTCCTCTTTATTCGACAACAATCGTGGGGGTACATCAAGCCACACATGTCTACCAAGATCTAGTAAGGAAAGCTTTGCTAAACTACCAGCTTCAAAGTTTCTACGTCTACTCTAAAAAATAAAGTGCAAGAAGGATTTATGAAAAATAACACTTTATTTTTTGGGTTATATTGGGCTGATGGGCCATATTATCCCCGTTCTTTCTTGTCGACCCTTCTTTTTTCACAAAGGTCCCTAGGAGCTCCTAGTCAGTGCCAAAGACCGCCCAAATCATCTGAATTTAAAAGTTCATCAAATTTGAAAACAAATTCATCGAATTTGAAAAACATTCATAGTTTTTTTAAAACATGAAATAAAAAGAAAACTGGAATAAAACCACCCCCGAAATGACCAGCGAATCGGTAAAAAACTGATTCGGAAAGCTTGTGTAAGCTTTCCAATACCAGTGGATTCTCGCGATTGAAGAGAGAAATAAAATAAAGGAAAAAACCTTAGAAAGCACTAATCCTTCGATGGCCTAGGGTTACCGTCGTTTTCTTCGAAGAAGCTGGTCGCGAGTTTGAAGTCTGGTGTTGCATTATTTTTTTGAACGTTTAAAATAGAAGAAAAAAATGGAAATGGGCGGAGCCCAACTAGCGCGCCCGTAGGCGCCCTTTGCAGAAACAATAAGAACAGGGGGCGGGGGCTTTGTGGTCAGCCACACCCTTGTCTGACTGCCCTGTCCCACCAAAAAAACCACCGCTCTCTCGTGCTTTTTATCGAACACGAGCACCGCATTCATGCTGACCTAGGGCATGCAGCAGGCGACATTGATGTCCCCAATTTGATCGTATGGGAGGGCGAAGCTGACGAACGTGACCTCTTGGGCGTCGCCGCTTCAATGCAGACACCACACCCCGAGAAACCAACTCCGGCCAGCGTCCCCGCTCCAGTGAGTCAAGGACGAGTCAGCATCACCCAAGCGCAACCGCGGCGTCCAGATCGGACACCGTGTCAAGGATGAGACGGCGTCGCCCCCGCACTACCATGGCGTCAATATCGGACGCCGGGCCAAGGACGAGTCGGCGTCATATGACATCATCTACGAGCGGACAACTAACCTCCCATACCAATGATCTTGACTAGGCGGCACCATTTGCTGCCTTCCGGGCCGATTACTCCCCCGCCAAAGCCTTCCCGCATTTCTTCGCCATTGGCGGAGGCTCCACCATTTCATCCCCCTTCGGGGCCTCTTCGTTGGCCACGCCGTCAAGCTCCTCCTCACCTCTGGAGTCTTTG